TTACAATCTTTTGGTGCTAAATTCGTAAATACAATAATTACTACATAACATTGGCGTGTATTGAACTGCTTTTTCTGTTGATCTGTTGTAAAACATGATGTTTTGGTGCTTAATTTGTAAAATCATAATGTAATTTGACATTTAATAGGCTTTTCCTTAATCCCTCTCTACTATCCAACATTTTCGTTTATCCAAAGTTCTGCCAGCCCGTTTATGTTGGATAAGCGAGACTGTGCAGTATTATTAACTATTCTGTTATATTTTTATCTCAATGCTTAAATCCTTTGTGGTAAACTCACTGTTGTTATTATTGTGCTCTTATCATGTATTTTGATAAGTTTTTGATATATTTTGTACTCTTTTAGGCATTGAATGTCTGCCTTGTTATGTGTAAACCGCCCTGAGTCCCCCTTGGGGAGAAAGGGCGGTATAGAAATTATTATTATTATTATTATTATTATTATTATTATTATTATTATTATTATTATTATTATGAGAGCACTAGAGCTATATATTTACTGGGAGCTTCTTGGAGGAAGGGTGAAAAATGAAGCTAATACAAAGAAAAAGGAAAAAAGTGTTCCTATTTCCAGACAGCTGTCCACAGATGTAATAATTGTGGGGACAGAGGGTCCCCTTCTCTAGCCTCACATCCACATCTCTCATGCTGTGCCGTCTACTGGACAAGTAAATCCTCACAGCATTGCATGCACTTGTATCAAAAGGCATAATGCAGAACATCTGCATTTGTAACACAGCAAGGCCGGGATGGAAAACAGAGATGTAATTTGCCATGAAGATGCAATGTACACATTTTTTTTCTTCCGAGTGAAGATATTGATTTCCCTGGTTGGACAATTTTTACAAAAGGATCGGTTAAGACTGCATCTCTGAAATGCCATTAACAGTACAGCTTGCCATTTCTGTTTGTCTTTCAGTTGAAAGAGTTAGAAAAATCGTCATATGAAAAACACAAGTTAACAACACATACAAAAGATTATTTTCTCTCTCCCCCCCCTCCCCCCCGTCACAACCCCCTTTGCCCCAAACAAAATAAGTTTTTAAAAATATCTATCTGAGCTATATATACAAGTAAACAGCCTCTTTTCAAGTGTCACTCTTCCATCATGGCCCAGGCTTCTTCCGCTTTCTGGTAATATTGGTTGGCCAGGCGGCCCTTCATGGCTTGCATGGCAGCTTCAGCAGCTTCGGTGTACAGCTCACCTGGAACAACGGAAGGGAAGAACCACACTGAGAGAGCGAAGGCAAGACACTTTCTTCTCCTATAGATGCAGCACAAGTTGCTACAGCTCCCATCATCCCCAACCAGAGAAAATGGGGTCCTAGACCAGACATGGGCAAACTTCATCCCTCCAGATGTTTTGGACTTCAGCTCCCACAATCTCTTGAGAGTCTCAGAACCCTTCCTTTTCACCCTCCGCCGCTTAAGCCAACTTGCTTAGCATTGAATAGCCTTGCACTTTCAAAGCCTAGCTGCTTCCTGCCTGGGGGAATCTTTTGCTGGGAGGTGTTAGCTGGCCCTGATTGTGTCCTGTCTGGAATTCCCTGTTTTCTGAGTGTTGTTCTTTATTTACTGTCCTCACTTTAGAGTTGTTTTTTTTTTAAAAAAATGGTAGCCAAATTGTTACTTTCAGGTTTTCCTCTTTCTGTTGAATTGTCCACATACTTGGATTTCAACGGCTTCTCTGTGTAGTCTGACGTGGTGGTGGTTAGAGTGGTCCAGTATTTCTGTGTTCCCAAATAATATGCTGTGTCCAGGTTGGTTCATCAAGTGCTCTGCTATGGCTGTCTTCTCTGGTTGAACTAGTCATGTTTCTTGATTCATATTTGGGCAATGCTCTGTTTGGTGATCCCTACGTATGCTGGCCCCTATGGTTGGAGTAGAGAAATCAGCCATAGCAGAGCACCTGATGAACCAACCTGGACACAGCATTTTATTTGAGAACACAAAAATGCTGGACCACTCTCACAACCACCATGTCAGACTACACAGAGAAGCCATTGAAATACACAAGCATGTGGACAATTTCAACAGAAAGGAAGAAACCATGAAAATGAACAAAATCTGGCTACCAGTATTAAAAAAACTCTAAAATTGCAACAGCAAAACAACAGAGAGGAAACACAGCAGGGACATCTAATCACCTCTCAACAAAAGTTTGTTCCAGGCACAGTCAGGCCATTGCATGCTAATCAAGATGGGCAGTTGAAACATTCACACCTAGCTCCAGCAGACAAGAGTCCTTTGTCTCACCCTGGTCATTCCACAGATATATAAACCCTTTTCCTAGTTCCAACAGACCTCACTACCTCTGAGGATGCTTGCCATAGATGCAGGCGAAACGTCAGGAGAGAATGCCTCTAGAACATGGCCATATAGCCCGAAAAAACCTACAACAACCCAGTGATTCCGGCCATGAAAGCCTTTGACAATACAATCTGTTTACAGTACTTGTTGCCTGTGCCTAAAATGGCCTCTTAGTTGCTCTACAAATGACCGCTCTTAAGTCCCTGTGAAGCCAGCCCAATCACTCAACAAATGGCCATTCTCAATATCTTTTTGGATGGAAAGGGTAACACTTCACTTCACTTATTTCTTAATTAGTCGCTCTCCACCAAGGTGCTCCGAGCGACTTACAATCTAAAATAGCATTTACACAATATAGAAACATTCAACATAAAAACATTCAACAGTGACTATTTGGCAAATTAGATCTGATTACTTAAATGCACAACCAAACAGCCAAGTCTTGAGTGCCTTTACAAAAGGTCGCAACTCCGACATTGCTCTAATGTATGGAGGCAATGAGTTCCACAGAATTGGAGCATAGGTCGAAAAAGCTCTACGCCTTGTAGCTTCCAGGTGTACCTCCCTAGGGCCCGGTATGTAGAGGAGATTTTCCTGGGTGGATCGAGGTGACCACGGATGAGAAAAGGAATGAGGTGGTCCCTAAGATAACAGGGACCCCCCAGCTTCCAAAGGAAAGGAAAAACACAGTCACACCAACCAGATAAGGTGAACATCAATTAAATCTCATTTTCTTCTCCCTCTGCCTGTTTGTTTACCTTACAGGAGTTTCTGATTTCTCACACCGGCACACAGAACTCACAAACTAAATGCCCTGAAAACTGGAAACTTTAGGTATCTTTCAGATGAAGCAATCTGAGATGCACTCCTTGAAAGTTTATGCCAAACATAGCTTCTCTCTTTCAGCTACCAGAGGACAACTAGATGGTTTTGCTGCAAAAGACAGAACACCCCCACAAAATAGGAAGCATGGCGCGATACCTGATCTCTGTGGATCTTTGTCCAGGTTAAACCCTCCACTCATCAGCATCTCTGCCTCTCTTGCCAGGAGGAGGTAGTGGGGCTCATCCTGCGTTCCATCGTATTCCCCTCCTTCGTCGTAATCGGTCATGTTCAATGCCGCATTGTACCAATGCAGGGCTTCCTTCCAATCTCGGTCTCTGAGTAATTCAAGAATAAAAGGTAAATATGAAAAAACTCCAGGAGTATTCCTGTGGGAAGACTTTTGTTCACATCTGCTTGCAAGCTGTTGAGCCCTGATATTTAATTAATATATATGATTGAGTGAGCCCCGGATACCTATGATGAGCAATACCATATTTGTTCTAAAAGGTTTCCCCTGACATTAAGTCTAGTCATGTCTGACTCTGGGGCTTGGTGCTCATCTCCATTTCTAAACCGAAGAGCCGGCATTGTCCATAGACACCTCCCAAGGTTATGAGGTCAGCATGACTGCATGGAGCGCCATTACCTTCCCGCCGGAACAGTACCTATTGCTCTACTCACATTTGCATGTTTTCGAACTGCTAGGTTGGCAGAAGCTGGGGCTAACAGCGGGAGCTCACCTCACCCCCCAGATTCAAATTGCTAACCTTTCGGTCAGCAAGTTCAGCAGCTCAGCGGTTTAACCTGCTGTGCCACTGGGGGCTCCTATTTGTTCTAATGAAGGCAAATATATTCCTATATACTTAGCATCAGATTCTCAGAAAACAACTCCAACAGCAACTCCAGCAGAAGTCTATTGCCAATTGTCTCTAAAACATAGATACTCTGCTGGGAGGAAGGGGATGCTTTATGTATTTAATGGGAAACACATTAAAAAAACCCAGGACAGATTTCTATCTATATGACACCCCTCCCCTCCCCCTGCCTTGTCATTGACTCTCACTAAAACACACTGATTGGTCAACCTGGACCATAGACTCATGCAACTGGCTAACCAAGGAATTGCCAGCAAGCATCCCTAACAACATAGTACCTGTCAGGAGCAAGATTCAGGCCTGTATCATATGCTCTTGCAACAAGGATCATGGCAGGACGGTCTCCAGCTGCTGCTGCTCGGCATAAATAATCAAATCCTTTGATTCTATTTTCCTTGGTGTCCTAAACAAAAGGAGGAAAAAGAACTGAATCTGACTGAAGGAAAAGGCTGAACTAGTATATAAAAAAATCATTGTTTGGGATCTTGACCCTCTAAAATATTGTTTGTGATAATCACAGCTCTCAAGAGATAATTGGCAGAAAACCATTTGGATTACTGTGAAGCAGAGCAACAATTAATTAAATCACCAGAGTCAAAGTCAGTAAAGTCATTTTGGCTGCAGAGGCAGAAAATCTGATGAGTCTTTCTCCTGGCACAAAAATAACAAACATTTCATAATTTGATATTTCTGCTGCAAATACCAGCTGCCATAAGCAGGACCAGCTCTGATAGTAGGGCATTCGTGGCATAATACATTGATGGAGGCATGTGGGTTTCCACAGCACCACAACAGTCAGAAGCCCACATATTTTATTGGGTCTCATTACTTACTTCTGTTTTATAATTTTTCACTGTTTTTAAACTGACTCCATTCCAAAATCTTCAGGCTGTAGAGGGCTCAGGGGTTGGGACAGCTAGTTTTTCTACTGTAACTGTAACAATTTCCCAGACCAAATTACTGTATTTCATCACATATTAGTCGCACCACTCTTTTGGGAAAGGCAAAATGGAACTTTTGCCTTTCTCTGTATTATAATTTATTATTTATTATTTACTTTGCTTATATACCGCTGTATCTCAAGCCCGAAGGCGACTCACAGCGGTTCACAAATTGCACCTTTAGTTCACTAGACTGCCTTCTTCCATATTCTTTCGTATTAATTTCGCAGTGAAAGAAGCACCTAAGATTGGTCTTTTGTTTTCATTGCATAATAGTAGCAATTCAATAATAAACAATAATAAACAGGGCCCCCACTGGCGCAATGGGTTAAACCCTTGTGCCGACAGGACTGCTGACCAACAGGTCAGCGGTTTGAATGTGGGGAGAGCGGGTTGAGCTCTCTTTGTCAGCTCCAGCTCCCCATGCAGGGACATGAGAGAAACCTCCCAGAAGGATGATAAAACATCAAACATCCGAGCATCCCCTGGGCAACGTCCTTGCAGATGACCAATTCTCTCACACTAGAAGTGTCTTGCAATTTCTCAAGTCACTGCTGACACTAAATAATAATAATAATAATAATAATAATAATAATAATAATAATAATACTTTATTTATACCCCACCACCATCTCCCAGAGGGACTTGGGACGGTTTAAAAAGCACTCAAACGTGCAAACGCATAAAATATAAAAACTGCAGAAACAATAACATAAAATAACAGCCAATAAAAATATCTCACTTCACAAAACCTGCTGGTAAAAATCAATAAATACAGCAATTACTGCAGGTATAAAACAACAAATAATCAATCTCAGTCATGTAAAGTGCTTGGTGAAATCTATGGGTGCTCACATGTATTCATTAAAGGAATCTAAATATGGCTGAATAATCACACCCTATTTCCCCCTGCAAAAATGGGTGGGGGGTTGCAACTATTAGACGATGAAATACAGAATTTAACTATTTTAATGACCATGTTTTCTGTAATGACCACAAACAAATCAGAGAATAGGAAAAGTCTGCCTCGTGTTACATACAGGTAGGAAGTGGTCAGGAAACGATGCTGCATTTGTAGGATTAATGGACGAGTGTTATCTATATTAAGAAATCCATTAGTTAATCCATTTGTACTTCACATTAAATAGAAATGCCCAAAATGCCTTTAGTGGGAAGGGAACAGTGAAAGAACAGATGCTTTGCGTGAACAATTGGATAATGATTCACTAATGAGACTCTGAGGATTTATGTTTTTATTGGTTTTATTGTTTTTGTATGTATTGTCGAAGGCTTTCATGGCCGGAATCACTGGGTTGTTGTAGGTTTTTCCGGGCTATATGGCCATGTTCTAGAGGCATTTTCTCCTGACGTTTCGCCTGCATCTATGGCAAGCATCCTCAGAGGTAGTGTTTTTGTATGGTTTTATATTTATGCTGAATATTTTAAACTGTATTTTCTGTTAAACCGCCTTGAGTCGCCTTTGGGCTGAGAAGGACGGTATATAAATGTGGTAAATGAATACATAGCAATCCTTGCATCTCCAGGTATGTCTGGAAAACAATTCAATGTTAAACTCTGGAAAGCTGTTGCCAATCAACTGAGAAGACATGGGTAATCTCCTAGAATTGAATGCAGTGCTCCAGATCAGGCATGACTAGCACAGACGACTATTACTTCCCTTGGTCTAAGGCACCTTGCTATGTTTTCCAAGTGAACATGAAAAAATGTGCTATATATCTCTGCTTTCACACAAGAAGTCTAGAAAGGTTGCAAGGATTCACGGCTGGTCTTGTTCAACTATGGTGCTGCCTTGCTGACCTTGAGTGTGACCTCAGAGAGAATGTGGTGCGGCAGCTGAGAGAACATGAGCCCGAGCCCCACAATGGCTTCTAGCTCTCCGCAGTCCGCTGCGTGCTCCAGGTGGAAAATTGCCGACTCTTCGTCCCATTCCTGGTCCTTCCCGCAGAAACGGCCAGCTTCATGGTATCGAACCATGGCCAAATGAACCTGTGTGAAAGAGGAGAGGGAAGAAATTGGAGGCGGAATGATTAAAAGTTAGATCAGCCTGCTGGCTAAGCATGAACATAGCTCTACAAGTGTTTCATTGTTATTTATATCTGCTCTTGGGTGGGTGCTGATCCAGATCACTACCTGTTTTAGCAATTCCACAACAAAAATAGGTAGATTTTTCACTACGGAAAGCATGAAATGCATGGCCTTTCAATTATTTTATATTACAACTACCATCAGCCCAAGCCAGCCCTGCTAGGACCCAAATCTTCCACTAAAAGAGTTTGGAAACCATAAGCTGCTGTTCCCAACCTGCTGTTAGGCTTTGCTTCATGAAATTCTTACACAAACCACTTTCCCTCGAGACTACAAGGCACAGAAGTAGATTCACAGCAAAATTTAAGATACAGGTTTTGACAGTTCTCATCTCTGAAATCTAACCTACAATACTTGGTATTCATTGGCAGTCTTCAATCCAAACACTAACCAAGGATGACCCAGCTTAACACCCAGGATTAGATGGGATCTAGCACCTTTTTTTGCAGTGTTTAGACATGCAGTAGGCCCTGTGTGTATCTTGCATGAAGGTACAAGAGCTGTTATTATTAGTTACTCTACTTATACTTGTACAGCACTCCATGCAGTCATGCCGGCCACATGACCTTGGAGGTGTCTATGGACAATACCGGCTCTTCGGCTTAGAAATGGAGATGAGCACCACTCCCCAGTCAGATATGACTAAACTTAATGTCAGGGGAAACCTTTAACTTTTACTTAGACCTTGATTTTCTCCCAAACTTGAGACCCATGTCAGTATCACAAGATGTCTTTTGTTCCTTCATTAACTTATTCCAATATGTAAAGGGGGGGGGCACATGTTTATTTATTTACAGTATTTATACCCCGCCCTTCTCACCTCAAAGGGGACTCAGAGCGACTTTACAGAACACACATAGGGCAAACATTCAATGTATTGTCAAAGGCTTATAAACTGCCTTTCCCTCTCTTTGTGTTGTCTGTCCTTGTTAATTGTATAATTGGCATTGAATGTTTGGGTTGTTGTAGGTTTTTCAGGCTGTGTGACCATGTTCTAGAAGCATTCTCTCCTGTATCTATGGCAGGCATCGTCAGAGGTTGTGAGGTCTGTTGGAAATTAGGAAAATTGGGGTTTTCCCATTTTATTTCCGGCATCTTGGAGGCTGTGCTTAACACTGGCCATGGGGGGCGGGGGAGAGGGTTGCTGTCGCTCCATCTTCCATGTTGAGGAGCTTTCCTCCAATCAATGTCCTTAAAGGCCCCTTTATTACCTCCCCGCTAAAAGAGGTACCTATTTTATCTACTTGTATTTCTGCTTTTGACCTGCTAGGTAGGCAGGCGAGCTGGGGCTAACGACAGGTGCTCACCCCGACCTGGGTTCAAACTGCTGACCTTCTAATCGGCAGGATTTTTCTGCAGCACAGCAGGTTTAGCCTTTTGTGCTGAGCCCGGCCTGCCAGTATATTCTATTCTCCTTATTTTTACACACTATAAAGATGGGCTCAAAGCCAACCTTAAAAACTCTGGCATAGACACTGAGAACTGGGAAGCCCTGGCCCTTGAGCGCTCCAGCTGGGGGTCAGCTGTGACCAGCAGTGCTGCAGAATTTGAAGAGGCACGAATGGAGGGTGAAGGAGAGAAACGTGCCAAGAGGAAGGCGCATCAAGCCAACCCCGACCAAGACTGCCTTCCACCTGGAAACCAATGCACTCACTGCGGAAGAAGATGCAGATCAAGAATAGGGCTCCACAGGCACCTACGGACCCATAAGAATACTGATCCTGGAAGACTATCCTACTCAGCCAATGAGGGATCGCCTAAGTAAGTAAGTACACGCTATAACCTCTTTCCTTTTCTAAGAACTAAACCCTCCAGTCCCTTGACGCTTTGAGATCCACTGGTGTGTGGTTATAATGGTAGTATAGGATTTCTAAAGTGCTCCTTAGCAAACCATAAGCTACAGCTGAAGACCCAGTTGACAGAGGTGCGTAGACAACCGGCTAACTTCTTTCCAGCCTTGCCCTATTTAAAGAAAGAGGCAAGCCATTTCATATGGCTCCCTCCTTCTTTCCAGAGGGCGAGCCACCAAATTAGATACCAGTTGGGACCTGCCAGAAGCAAGAGTCTGAGATGCTCAAACCTTCCCAAGGATGGATTTCCCAATTTTCTTCTCCAGCTCCAAAGCGTTGAGCCTCTGCACTTCCACCGCAACACAGGAGGGTCTGTGGATATGGACTCTGGCCGCGTTAAAGAGATTCCACTTCTCCACACTGACCTAAAACAGGGCAAAGGCACTGCTGACGTCAGTTGGAAATGTAAAAGGAAAAGAAAGAAGCGTGTCTTCTTATCAAGACCACACTGCCATCCAGAGCCAAGAAAGCCTTCTCAAGCTGCAGCAGTAATTTCCCCACAAAAACGTATGTGTGTAAAGGAATAAATTAAAACAGAACTCAACCAGGCAGAAATCTTACACAAATATTGGTCACAATTAACTCAAATTATAGAATTGCACTGTAACTCAGAAATGGGAACTGTGTGGCCTTCCAGATGTTCAATGTATTGTCAAAGGCTTTCATGGCCGGAATCACTGGGTTGCTATGAATTTTCCAGGCTGTATGGCCATGTTCCAGAGGAAATGTCAGGAGAGAATGTTTCTTAACATAGTCATACAGCCCGGAAAACTCACAGCAATCCACTTCCACTTGTTACATTGCAAGTCCCAGCAGCCTAGTCAATAGAACAAAATGTTGGAAGTTGGAGTTCTAAAATATCTGGAGGGCCACCCACTTCGCATTCATGCTGTAGCTCATTCTCCACAGCAATTAATTTCTAGTCAATTTGGGGAAGACTAAGTCACATGCACAAAACTACAAAACTCCTAGTTGCACTTACTGTGATGGCAGCAAAATGCTAGCAAAACAGGCAGTGCTGGTTCTCGATGAGCAGCGAAAGATCTAAAAGGTTCTCTATTGGAAGGGCAAAGGATTGGGCACGTTGAAAAGAATTTAGAAAATACCATATATACTTGAGTTAAAGCTGAGTTTTTCAGCCCTTTTATGAGGTTGAAAAGCCCCCCTCAGCTTATACTCCAGTCAAGGTTATTTATTATTTTACTCTGTTGTCGTTATTACATTTATTTTACTCTATTTATTATTATTATTATTATTATTATTATTATTATTATTGAATTCACATTATTTTACTCTATTATTACATTTATTATTTTACTCTATTTATTATTATTATTATTATTATTATTAAATTCACATTATTTTACTCTATTTATTATTACTATTACATTTATGTTATTTTACTCTATTATTACATGTACATTATTTTACTTTATTTTTATTATTACATTTATTATTTTACTCTATTATTACTGGAAGGATACGTAAGCACATTTACATTGAAGAAGGTTAGAATAATGGTTTAATCAGAGTTGGACAGTCTTACCTTAAATTACAATTTTATGTAAATATTCAGAAACATTTAACCTACTGATGCCTCAATTAATATAATTTTCTTACTATCTATTTTTATTTTTAAATTTACCAGTAGCTGCTGCATTTCCCACCTTTGGCTTATACTCGAGTCAATACGTTCTCCGAGTTTTTTGTAGTAAAATTAGCTGTCTTGGCTTATATTCGAGTTGGCTTATACTCGAGTGTATATGATAAGTCTGAAACTCTGAGAGTGCCCCAACCAACATGGCCAGTGGTTGCCCAAGTAATAGCCTGAATTTAGAATTACCCATATATAGGTTCAAGCTGTCTTGATACCTACACCCTTCAAAGAAAGTAGCAAGACATAGTAGCACATTCCAAGATTTGGTGTGTTTTAGAAAAATACGGATTCGAACCATGGAAACAGCAGCAGAAATCAGCAAAAGCCAAATCAATCGGCAGGGAGAAAACAAAGCCAAGAACATGATGAAGGGATTCATGCAGATTCACCCGTTTGCTCCATGGACTGGTTTTAGTAGTTGAAGAGAGTTTATTTACAACAGTGTTTCTCTAATTGAGAAGGAAAGGAATTAAAAAGTGAAAGAAAACGAGATGTAAGTAATGAAAAACAATATTCTGCAACTGAAATAAAAATAGCTTTTAATATACAGTACGGCCCCTGTATCCCTGGGATCAGTTTCGTTGATCCATGCCTACCAAAATATGTGCTCGCTGGCCATTTTCTAGGTCCTCCAGCATTGCCAGAAGCCCTTCATTTGAATAGGGCTTGATATTATCTGTGCTTTTTGGATTTACACAAAGAATGGGAACATATTGCCCATGGATACAAGGATCATACTGCACATGTGGGTTGGAGGAGTAACATCGGAGGCATGGGGAGCAAACCAACCAAAGCCAGGTATTATCTTCAGAGAGTTTCTGTCTTATTTACCCTTGCAGAGCTGCCCAAACTGTCTTCATCACTTTCATGTCTTCGGTTACAGTTGGACTGCACCTATATTAATATAAAAAAATAAAACAAAATTAATTGTGTTGATCATTATTTCAAGAAGCTCTTGTCAATAGCTTAGGAGGCGGGGGGCGGGATTGAGTGATGCCTCTGTTTCAATGTCAAGTCACATCAAAACATTATCACCAAGGCTGAATCAATGAATACATTTAAAAGCATAACAGTTAATTGACCACAGGATTTTAAGAGACTGACAGTATTCTTATTTCCACATTAGAGAGAGGATTTATTGATACACTTTCCTCTAAAGCCCCATCTGCACTCGCTGCTTTGAACTGAATTATATAGTCAGTGTAGACCAGGCATGCAATTTTACTACAAAAAAAGGGTGGGAAATGCAGCAGCTACTGGTAAATTTCAAAATTTAATAAAACCAGTAAAATTACATTAATTGAGGCATCAGTAGGTTAAATGTTTTTGAATGTTTACATAAAACTGTAATTTAAGTTAAGGCTGTTCAACTCTGATTAAACCATTATTCTAAACCTTCTTCAATGTAAATGTGCTTACACATCCTTCCAATAATAATAAAAGAGTAAAATAATAAATACAATAAAAATAATAAGAGAATAAAATAATGGAAATGTAATAACAGTAATAATAGAGTAAAATAATAAATGTAATAAAATAATAGAGTAAAATAATGTAAATGTAATAATAATAGTAATAGAGTAAAATAATAAATGTAATAATAATAGAGTAAAATAATAAATTTAATTTAAGGTAAGACTGTCCAACTCTGATTAAACCATTATTCTAACCTTCTTCAATGTAAATGTGCTCACGTATCCTTCCAATAATAATAAAGAGAAAAATAATAAATGTAATAACAATAATACATAATGGTAAAATAATAAATAAAATAATAATAGAGTAAAATAATAAATGTAATAATAATAGAGTAAAATAATGTAAATGTAATAATAATAATAAATAGAGTAAAATAATAAATGTTATAATAATAACAACAGAGTAAAATAATAAATAACCTTGACTTGAGTATAAGCCGAAGGGGGCTTTTTCAGCTTAAAAAAAGAGCTGGAAAATTCATCTTATACTCTAGTATATATGGTATTGTTATTATTATTATTAACTAAATATTATACAAAATGTAATTAAATTTTAAAACAATTGAAGGAGCACTGGGGTTTCTGACGCCCTCAACTTATTCTGCTCATGTTCAATAATACCAACAAGCTGTAAATAAATGAAGAAAAGAATATTCAAACAGCAATAGAAGATGTTACTTTGTGATCCATGTCTTCGTGTTCACTCCTCTTTTCACTTGGGTATCCACTGTCACCTCCATTTTCACATTCCTAGAAAGGGAAAAATGACATGAGGTTAAGGATGATGTGATGTTTGATCCTGTAACACCTGGAGAATCACAGGTTACCCATTATTGCCTTAAAAAAAAGATCCAACAATGGAAATCATCACACCAGGTCACGATGTTAGTTTAAAAAAAATAGTATGTAAATATTAGAACGTTTAAATTAGGGCAAGGAATGAGAAGAGAAGTAGTAGAAGATCAAGGCGCCTGTTCACAGCTATATCACTGTAGACGTCAATTAATCCTCTTTGGAGATTAAGATATTTTGGATCAGATAAAATAGACTATTTGAGTATGAGAGTTTGATGGTGCTTTACATTGTGAAGATTAAGATAAGGGGATTTTACCTTTCAGTGCTTCTGTAGAGAACTTTAGGCTAAAAGAGGCATAAATGTGTTTGTTTTTGTGCACCTAAGCACCAAATTGCCGCAATCAAATCCAAAGAGAGGAAGTTTTCAGAAAGCGGGACATGGGGACAAAAGCAATCCTCATATATCTGTGTAACCCCACCACATATTTTCTATATTATTAGGTGTATGTCTAAAAAGCACAACGGACACAATCATTTTTAACTTGACTATTGGAGAAACACTTACCCTTTGATTGTCGAGGCCTTCATGATCATTATGAACCAAGTTGTCAACTTCATTGAATACAGGCCAGTCTAGAGGAGAGTAATATAGAGATTTTATTTGTTAGAAAACAGGTCTTTCTTTGCCAAGTCACTTCTGGTGTAAGAGAATTGGCCGTCTTCAAGGACGTTGCCCAAGGGATGCCTGGATGTTTTACCATCCTGTGGGAGGCTTCTCTCATATTCCTGTATGGGAAGCTGCAGCTGACAGATGGGAGTTCACCCCACTCCCCAGATTCAAACCGCCAACCTTTCTGTTACCAGTCCTGTCGGCACAAGGGTTTTATTTATTTACTAGCTATACCCGCCACACGTTGCTGTGGCCAACCTTCCCTCCCTCTTTCTCTCCTTCCTTCCTTCCCTCCCTCCCTCTTTCCTTCCTTCCCACTTTTTCTTTCCCTTCTTCTTTCTTCCTTCTGTTTCTTTTCTCATTTCCTTTGCTCTTTGGTTCCATCCTTTCTTGTCTCTTTCCTTCCTTCCCTCCTTCCCTCTTTCTCTCTTTTGTTCCTTCTCTCCTTCCTTCCCTCTTTCACTTTTTTATTTCATTCTCTCCCTCCTTCTCTCCTTCCTTCTCTACCCTTCTTTCTTTCCTTTTTCTCTTTCCCTCCTTCCTTTCTCTCTACCCTTCTTTCTTTCCTTCCTTCTCTCCTTCCCTCCTTCTTCTCTCCCTCCTTCCTTCTCTACCTTTCTTTCTTTCCTTTCTTCTCTCCCTCCTTCTCTCCTTTCTTCTTTCTGTGTATGTGTTTTGTGTGTGTGTGTGTGCATGTGTGTGTGTGTGTTTGTGTGTGTATATATATATGTGTGTGTGTGTGTGTGTTGTTGTAATGTAAATTTTTTGGTTTTGGCTTTTTAAGTCCCTTCTGCTGTGTTTTCCAGTGTTTTTAGGAGTGATGGTCTCTTGTTGGGCTGAGAGATGTATTGTGTATAAATTTGGTGTCAATTCGTCCAGTGGTTTTTTGAGTTGTGTTAATCCCACAAACGAACATTACATTTTTATTTATATAGATAACATTTATATTCCACCCTTCTCACCCTGAAGGGGACTCAGGGTGGAGCACGGCATATATATGGCAAACAATCAATGCCAGGACATGAATTCATTGTTGTTGTTCATTCGTTCAGTCGTCTCCGACTCTTCGTGACCTCATGGACCAGCCCACGCCAGAGCTCCCTGTCAGCCGTTACCACCCCCAGCTCCTTCAGAATCAAGCCTATCACTTCAAGGATGCCATTCATCCCTCTTGCCCTTGGTCGGCCCATCTTCTTTTTTCCTACCATTTTCCTCAGCATAATTGTCTTCTCTAAGTTTTCCTTTCTTCTCATGATGTGGCCAAAGTACTTCATCTTTGCCTCTACTATCTTTCCCTCCAGTGAGCAGTCGGGCTTTATTTCCTGGAGGATGGACTGGTTCGATCTTCTCGCAGTCCAAGGCACTCTCAGAACTTTCCTCCAACACCACAGCTCAAAAGCATCGATCTTCCTTCGCTCAGCCTTCCCTAAGGTCCAGCTCTCACATCCGTAGGTTACTACATGGAATACCATGGCTTTGACTAGGCGGATCTTTGTTGCCAGTCTGATGTCTCTACTCTTTACTATTTTATCGAGACTGGACATTGCTCTCCTCCCAAGAAGTAAGCGTCTTCTGATTTCCTGGCCACAGTCTGCATCTGCAGTAATCTTTGCACCTAGAAATACAAAGTCTGTCACGGCCTCCACGGTTTCTCCCTCTATTTTCCAGTTCATTACATGCATACATAAACATGAATTCATTACATGCATACATAAACATTAAAAACATTTGTCTCAATATTAAAATACAATATGAAAACATTGCACCACCGGGGAGAAAACAAGTATGTTACAGAAATAAAAAAATCACTTAAATATGCAATTATGACAAATCAGGGGGGAAACTGGAAATTAACTTATAATCTTGACCATCAAGGAGAAAGTTCTTCAAATATTGAATTATGTGAGAACAAAATGCAAAGATATACATCTTAGGGTAACATACGGAGGTTCTCGTTTTTGTGGCTATGGGGTGTTGCCGAAGATGGAGACGAAGGCCAGGAGTCAAAGGCCATGTCACTCATGCTCTCATCCCCTGAGTTTTCAGACAATCGGAAAAGCAGAGGAGGTCGGCTACCGGAGATGGTTCTGACCCGGCTGCTGCCACATTTCTCTTCTGTGCCTCGCACAACAGTCTGAGCAAATTCCTTGACAAATAGAAAGAAAGGAACATACAACGTTGACTGTATTTGTTCCATTCATATCTCATATTTCCCACCATTTTGTGGGGAATGATACTGTGTTTCTTCAATTGTAAGGCACCACTGATTGTAAGATGCACCCTAATTTCAGTACCACCACCACCACCAACAAAAACACACGAGATATACCTGTGATTGCAGAGATGTTGATATTGGAAAAAATGTGCCTTAGAATTGAAGAACTAGAGTAATTCACAAACCATTTGTTCAAAGAGTGAAAAGAAAAACAAATAGCGTTCTATATCTATTACATAATATTGCTGCACATCATCATTATATAAACCATTATGTAATATACAGATGTTTGAAACAACACTATGTTAAGTATCCAATGCTGAATTTTTCCTAGATTTTGTTCCTTATGTCATAATTGGTGATCTCTCTGTGTCCTAAATAGTCTGCTCTGGAAGGGTGGAAGTTTTTGAAGCATATTTTTGGTATTATGAAATGCGGAAGTGAGAATTAAATTCTAATTCTGTTAATGTTGGATACATTGGCTCAAGGCCACAACATATAAAATGTTGGAACTCAAAGACTATGGGTTGCTGTGGGTTGCTGTGAGTTTTCCAGGCTGTGTGGTCATGTACCAGAATAATTCTCTCCTGATATTTTGCCCCCATCTATGGCAGGCATCCTCGGAGGTTGTGAGATCTGTTGGAAACTAGGCAAGTGGGGCTTATTTATCTATGGAATATTGTCCAGGGTGGGAGAAAGAACTCGTCTGCTTGAGGCAAGTGTGAATGTTGCAATTGGCCACCTTGATTAGCACTCAATGGCCTTGCAGCTTCAAAGCCTGGCTGCTTTCTGCCTGGGGCAATCCTTTGTTGGGAGGTGTTAGCTAGCCCTAATTGATTCTTTTCTGGAATTTCCCTCTTTTTTGAACAAAGGATCCCCTAGGCAGCAACCAATCAGGCTTTAAAGCTGCAAGGACATTCAGTGCTAATCAAGGTGGCCAATTGCAACATTCACACTTACTTTCAACAGACAAGAGTTCTTTCTACCACCCTGGACATTCCACATTCATTTTGTTGCTACTTCATAACTGTAATTTTACAGTTATGAATCATATATCCGATATGTAGGATGTATATCAGATATATGATTTTGTCATTTGGGAGTTGTAGTTGCTGGGATTTATAGTTCACCTACAATCAAAGAGCATTCTGAACCCCACCAACGATAGAATTGGGCCAAACTTCCCACACAGAAACCCCATGACCAACAGAAAATACTGCTTCCCAGGGGTCCTGACTCCCAGGTTGAGAAATGCTGATCTAGAGGCAGAAAGCACTTACAAGCTTTTTATTACTTTGAACTAAGGCGTCTTTCTCTTTGGCAGCGAGGTCAAACGGGGTCAGTCCCATGCTTTTGCAAATCTTGTTGCAGGAATGAGAATGGAAGAACAAGGCCATGCCCCGAACACCTGAGAGATATCAAAAGGAGCTGTGAGGACACAGTTTCGACAGAGAAAGCCCTAAATCTTCCCTGTGAATCTGTTCAGATATTCCTGTTACTGTCACAGTCCCCAGATCTTTTTGAAGATTAGAAAACGCTGTCGTTTTTTCCAATCTTAAAAAAGACCTGGGAACTGTGACAGGAGATGTGAAACTTCGGCAAAAGTTTCTGAAGTTCTGAAAGCAATCATCTGTTGAAAGGCCTAAGCTGCTGCCCCAAGAATCATTGCATGCACCATTGCTCCAAGGCTTACTGCTTCCTGCTTACTTTTATTTTATTTATCAAAGGTCCATAGAAACTTTTCTGCAAGGTGGATACTTGGCAAGTGTGTGGCCAGGTTATTCTTATGGAAACATCTACATATACTCAATGCACTGCATATCATTCAAAAATCTGATGCTCACATGTATGTTATGAGGGGCGTTCATTAAATATTTCCCCTGACCCGCTTCTCTTTATCGCATGTCTTTATGTGCATGTTGTAAGACTGAAAAGATGGAGTTATCAATATTTGTACATTGTTCCCAATGCAGCCTGTGGTGTGCAAACAGTAAGTTAAAAGGAGTGTCTGTCTATTTAACCTATATTTAAGCTCTTGGATATTGTACCAGGAAATTATGCTTTGGCCACCCCTGTGTTAATACAGGCCGGAGGTTTAGCACAGCTGGCAAATCATCAGCAACTATAAGATCTATCAACCGAAAGGTTGCAAGTTTGAACCTCTGGGTCGGCGTGAGTGGCCGACCGTCAGCCCTGCTCACTGTTTACCTAAGCAGTTCGAAAACAGCTTTAGCTGTAATTAGAGAAGTTAGGTACCACTAAAGTGGGGGAGGTGTTTTACAACACCATAAAGAAAAAAAGAGCAGAAAATGCTGGAATGAGGAAGTCTGACGGCTCTTCGTCATAGAGGATGGAGCAACAGCACCCCCTGTGGACTCGAGCCCAACCATCCATGGGATCAAAACAATACCTTCTTCTGTTCTGTCTGTGTACTTACAAATGGCATTGAATGTTTGCTGTGTATGTGTACTTGTGATCCTCCATGAGTCCCCTTCGGGGTGAGAAGGGTGGAATATAAAAAGTATTATTATTATTATTATTATTATTATTATTATTATTAATTTTTGGCATCCATGGACAGTAGTTGGTGCCTAAGGCCCATCCTGCTCCTTGGTTGAAGGTTTATCTAGTCACTGGATTTAGTAAGTCAACTATTGTCATTTTAGAATCATAAAACTGGAAAGGGTTACAAGGGCCATCCAATCCAACCCCCAATCATGCAGGAATACATAGTCAAAGCACTCCACTGGCCTGGAGCACTAGAAGAGGACTTGTGAGGAAATGCCAACCTGCTTTTTCCATCAGCCACTGCTTCCAAGTAAGCTACTGACCAAAGTCCCAAATGATGGTCAGTCAAGCCGCAAGTTGGAGCAAGAAAGAAACCAAAGGGCATTTTGCTAGACAGGTGTCGGTGTTCATTTGTACCCAGAGTAACCTTGCTAAGAATGCAACTACTGTATTTCTTCAATGCAAAACCCTATTTTCTCCCCTATATTTAAACATCTCTAAAAATGGGGTGTATCTTAGAGTCGCAGGTGTATCTGATATATTTTTGACTGAATGGAGCGCCATTACCTTCCCATTGGAGCAGTACCTATTTATCTACTCACACTTGAATGTTTTCGAACTGCTAGGTTGGCAGACGCTGGAACTAACAGCAGAAGCTCATCCCACTCCCCAGATTCAAACCGCCAACCTTTTCGTCAGCAAGTTCAGCAGCTCAGCTGTTTAACCTGCTGCGCCATGGGGTGCTCCCATTATAGCCATGCTTAAATGGATGCCACAAGGAAGGGGGAGCAGACTTATTTCTGTGGCTTTGGAGACTAGGACTCAATGGAGCCACGGGTTCAAATGACATGAAAGGAGATTCCACCTGAATATTAGCAAGAACTTCCTGACTGTAAGAAGAGCTGTCCAATAGTGGAACTCTCTGCCCTTGAGGGGTGCTTCAAATGTGCTTTTCCTGCATGGCAAGGGTTGGACTAGATGGCCCATGTGGTCTCTTCCAACTCTATTATTTATTTATTTATTTACTTTATTTATACCCCGTCTTTCTCAGCCTGAAGGGGACTCAAGAACAGTTTTACAAACTACGGCAAAAATTTAATGCTGCCTCATGCACATAACATAAATGTAGCATATTAAATCATAAAACAATTAATACATATAAACAGTTCTATGATTCTAAGGGGAAAAACAGTGATCATGGTCTTTCCAATATTATTTCCAGTCTGAAGCTCATGACCTTTGTGCCTAAGGTAACAATAACCTTTTTCTTGTTCTTTCAAGTCCTGACTGGAGGGAACTTTCTCTTGAGGAAAAAAAACTTGAAAAATCAACCTCTATGCATATGTGAGTTCTTCTGCTTTTCCACTCCAAGAAACAGCCCTTTGAAGGCAACCAAAAGGCTGATATGGTGAAAATGAGCTTGACACCCCTGCTCTAACAGAGCATCATGGTGAAGATGTAACATGTCAGCAGTTACCAAGGTTGCCATCCCCGAAGTCGGTTCCACTCTCTGTGTGAATCTGAGGGTCGGTGTAAAGGTCTCCAACACCTTGGATGTCGACGACGATAAGCTGGTGCCCTGAGCGTTCAAACGTGAAATGGCTAAAAGCCTGCAAGGAATCACAAGGTACATCACTCATGAGAGAAGAGAAGCCACTTCTTAATCTCATGCCTTGTAGACTGCAATTCAGTTTCAGCAACCCATCTTTTGGGTGAGGATATTTATTATTTACTAGCCATCCCCTGCCACGCGCCGCTGTGGTCTAGTCTGTGTATATGTGCTTTGTGTGTGTATATATTTGTGTAAATGTGTATTTATGTGGTTATGTGCATGCATTGCAATGTATTTTTATTTTTTACTTTTTAAGTCTCTTCCGCTGGGTTTTTCAGTGTTTTTATGAGTGATGGTCACTCGTTGGCCTGATAGGTGTACTGTATCCAAATTTGGTGTCAATTCACCCAGTGGTTTTTGAGTTATGTTAATCCCATGAACGAACATTACATTTTTATTTATATAGATTTATGACATTTATATCCTGCCCTTCTCACTCTGAAGGGGACTCAGGGCGGCTTACATAATTGGCATTATTCCATGCCCAAACAACAACAACCACCAGTAAAAGCAATTAAAACAACATTAAACAACATATGTAACAACAGCCAGATAATCAAATAATTATATTCATCAATCCAGGGGCAACTCCAACTGTATTGCACAGATAATTATGCTGGGTCTAATGCTTGCTCCCAAAGCCAAGTTTTCACTTGTTTGCAAAATGACAGGAGGATATTACCTGAGATCAATTTCTCTTTGTTGCCCTTGACCCTGACCCCAGGCTAATATGGACAGTCATCTACTCCTGGACCAACAATCTGAGAGCCAGCGCAAGACACTAGCCAACTGGGCTACTAACTCACTGTCACCAGGAAAGACTCACCTGTGGGGTGAGGCGGATGTTGTCATCGCGTACGAATCCTGAGTTTGAGTTGTATTTGATGTATTTGCCTTCAATGTAATGTTCCAAGTGAAACAGAGGTTTGCCAGGTCTGTTCTTCATTTCAATGATGCAGGTTTGGACAATGTCCACCTAGAAAAAGGAAGCAAGTTAGAAAGATGTAACAAAGGAAACTTATCTCATTGGACCCAAACAGGAATTAGGTAAGGTAAACTCTGGCCAAAAATAAAATATATGTGTTTAGGAAGGTTTCCTTAACCCACGGGCCACTATCATGGGACATTTATTAAAATCTCCCAGAGTCAAGCAGGAATAGAAAGGAGAGAACACATGGTTCATTCAACCAAAACATTTACAATTTTCCTTTAAAACATTTATGGATTTATCTGTAGTAAAGTAATTGATAGTTTCTTTAAATCCTTGAGTCCTCTCTGGGGTGAGAAAGGCAGGGTAGAAATGTCGTAAATAAATACATAAATATCTTTAAGAAATTTACATAAATAATCCCAGAGAAACTGCATTGCAAACTCTAGGGAGTGTCCTTCTTTCAGATCCTTATTATTTTACTTTTTCTCTTGTAAAAGATACCTGTTTGGGGGGCTTGTGCCGGTTATACTCTTCTCCCCACAACTTGGCCTCCATTTGGAGTCTCACGTCCTCAAAGTAGACATCCCTGTTCACTGTTTCGATGTATCGCTTGGCCACATAGTTAAAGGCACCTTTCCAGTTCTGAGTATGCAAAAAATTGGATAGCTTTTTCCTATAAGGAGAAAATAAATATGATGCAGAAAATGGACATAGTGCTCTCTGTAAACATGGGAGCAGGGAAGTACAAGGGAACCTCCATAACAAGAATGTATGACCATATTTTAGTTCTTGGGGATCACTGGTGGTCCATGGACCTCAGGTTGGGAACCACTGCTCTAATGGATCATGTGTAATACTGAATTAATGCTAACTGAACTCACATATTAAAGGAGAATGATCCACATTTCCCCATTCTGCAACAACAACAACAACAACAAAAGGAAAATCACAAGGAGCAATAGAAACACTTACGTTCTGAAGCATTCCCGCATGGCTCCACGGCCAAAAGGCTGGAAAGCAATACAGAGGTCATTATTCATCTGAAGCTTATGTAGAAATGAAAATCCCTGCATGTACTATCAGCAAATTGAAACCCATCCATCTAAGTCTATAGAGGGTTCACCAGAAATGTTAAATTTGATGCCAATGAAGTCAGAATTGAATGGAATATGGGGTCAGACTGTTCACTGCAAATCAACCAATGGAAAATTACTCGACATCTACAATCTCTCTTTGTATTAACAATTTTATAACACTATTTTTTTTAAAAAAAGAGGGCACTTAGGTTAGTTGTTCGTTCTCAGTTGAATTCACTTTACAGGGTGAAAAAGAAATAAAATAACACACACACACACATATTAGTATCAGGAGCAACTTGAGAATCTGCAAGTAGCTTCTGGTGTTAGAGAACTGGCTATCTGCAAGATCATTGCCCAAGGGATGCCGGATGTTTACCACCCTGTGTGAGGTTTCTCTCATGTCCCTGAATGAGCAGCTGGGGCTGACAGATGGGGGCTCACCCCACTCCCCGGATTCAAACCACCAACCTTTTGGTCAGAACGAGGGTTTAACCCACTGTGCCAACTTTTTAATATGTTATTAAAATTAAGGATAAGAGTCAGAGACAAGTCTGTCCTCACCTGTGAAGCCATTTTGATCAGAACCCCATCCTCAATCCACTCCCCAGTCACAGCATTATATCTGTCAAACAGGTAAAACACCATAATCTGATCATTAAAATGCACAACGTTACATCAGGGGCATTGTGGGCAATTAAGAAAATATTGTGATGGACTCAACTGAATCAGGGGATTTGCAGTTCATTGAGATCCTATTGCTCTCTGGCACAAAATTCTAAATACTCTCCCTAAACTCCAGATCCCAGGATTCCATGGCACTTATATTAGAATCATAGTGCTATAATTGTGCATAGTTAAAGAGCACTAGGCCTTTATAGCCCACATATAATCACAAACCCCTATGCGCTAGATGTTCTCTGGAGATGAATGCTCAGTTTGTTTCTGTACACGGGAGAGCATAAAGGGCAAGACAACATGTAACTGCATGGTTATTTTGCCCTGGAGGCTTTTATTTATCATCAAAACAGGTGCAGGTAGCTACAGGCTGAACTGAAACAGCGCTGCTAGATCAGTTATAAGTGAAGCACTGCCAAATGTGAGCAATGCCGACAGATTCTGTTCTTAAAAATGTTGCAAGAGCACATGTAGCTTCTACATCAGAGCTTGGCACAAACTGTGCCATCCCTGAAACAGATTTTATTTTTTGTTACATGTGTATACTTGCTCCTCCACTTAGTATGGCCAGAATATAATTCTTTAAAAACAACAGTGCAGCAAGGATAAGAACAAAGCTGGCCAAATCTAACCTGTGTTCACTCCAGAGAAAAATTAATTTTTTTGGACAACAATTCCCAAAAAAAGGCCCAGTCAGTGGATTCCTCGATCTGGAGTACAAAAGCAAAATTTCTGAAATGTTGAAGCCAGAGGAAAAAATGAGGGAGGGAGAGAAAAAAAA